GGTTACGAGCTTGCGTCAAGCTTCTCTGAAGCAAATAATCGTTACAAAATTTGGATTGCTTTAAAGGAAAACACTTAGTGTTCTACAATTTCTAAATTAAGTGTTACAGAAATCGCAAGGTCGAAGTTAGTTTAAAAAAGGTTTTTAATGACAGACCTAATGGCTTTTTTATGTTTAGTATGGATAATTAAAAGAAAGCGTGATACCTATAAAATGGAATGTGGAACACCGATACTATTACAATTGCAGTTGCAAATGTTAATAGATTTTTAATTTAATTGCGGCAGAGATAAAGACGTTTGTGATTTGCGCAGTATAATAATAGGCATTAAATAAGTTCACGTTCAGACTTAAATAGTAGGTAATAAACCTTATCTTTGAGATGTTTTTTTTGTATACGTGAGCCATGTACAAAAGCAAGCACTCATAAAATAGCATATTAAAATAGCAGCATACTGTTTTTTTTTTACACATATATATATATATATATATATATATATATATATATATATATATATATAAAAACTGAAGAAACAAATGAATTTACTGGCCACGTGATGGTATGTGACGGCTGCATGTGTTTTCTGCATTCAAAATTCTGTACAAATTCAGACTTCAATATGAATATAATTTACTGTTGATTTTTTAAAACTCCTCCTTTAAAATACCCTTTGACAAAAAAAATAATTTTCCAAATCCGATTCCGACGAATTGAGAACCTCCTCCTTTTTTGAAATCGTATGAAAAATGAGGTGATCTTTTGTTCCCGTGTGCTTCGCGCACAGAAGTCTGAAGACACTTTTGTGAATTTCTCCATCATAGTCCGTGTAGTGGCGGTGTAAGAATTTTTGTGAATTTCTCCATCATGGTCCGTGTAGTGGCGGTGTAAGAATATCCATTACCCCATCTCATCCCGTGAGCGTCGTTATAGGCGATAGAGGAAACAAATCAGGAGATGGGCAGCAGCGTCTTCGTAATAACGACTAAAAATAAAAAAAAACTGCGGTTGCCAACCCGCTCGCGAAGCGTGGCAATTATGGCAAATATCCCCCCTATGAAGTGCTCTATAGGGGAGGCCTGTGATCAGCAGTAGACTTTAATAGGCTATAACGGTAACGGATTCGATGGTCGATGGGCACCAATCTTACGATAGTTTTTCTGGTGATTGGTGAGATTGTACGGCACCTATACTGAACAACGCTTACAGAGAGAAAGTTGGTCCTAATGAAAGTTGGTCCTGATGTTTTTCTGCTGATCCAATGATACACAGTTCTCGTTCAAGCCCTTCTTATAAAATTGATCAGATTTCGCGGTTACATCTTGCCGTCTAACATTTTGAGTGACCGCGTTCGACTGCTGATCTATCTTCGCCACATCTGCAAAGTTTCTTCATCTTCTTCTAATTTGTTTGCTCAATTTGTCTGCTGTTGCAAAGTACTATTATCTATTACAAAAGCTCAAAACTTTTTTATACTCGTAGTCGTAGTAAATAATCATTTTGATTGAACTGTTAAGAGCGATTTTAGCCAGATTGTTACGAAAAAAGGATTTTCCGAAAAAAAAATTAATAATAAGTATTCTATTTTTAAATTTATCAAGAAATGTTATTATCCTTATTATTCTATATTATTATTATTATTATACAGATTTTAGGATAATATATAAACTAGGCAGTTTCAAACTAATGAGTTAAGATTACTTAACTTCATTTGCCCAATCAGGTCAGATAGTAATTGGAATTGATTTATATTTAGGAATAAAAGTTCGCAATAGCGATTGTATTGTCATGCTCTTTGTAATGCTGTGTTTTATATGTACATCATACTGGTTACAAAGGGTTCTATCTTAGCCTTAATGTTTGCATTTTGATGCCTAATAGAGGATGCTTATAGGCGTCTTTACTTCGATTTGCTTTGAATCGAACATAGTTATTGCACACCAATAAACAAGAAAAAAAAATACATAAATGTACAATTGGTGGCCTTATTTCTTTGCTTAGAAGCGATTTCTAAAATGCAACCACATTGCAGAGGATTTAATGTCTAGCAAGAAAGAAAATACCAAAAAAAATATATACACACGATAACTAAGCTTTTGTAGACATCTATATAAATAAAATAATAGAGGTTTGCAGTTATGCGCGCATCAGGAAAAACTACTGGATAGATTTCAAATAGGTTTTATTTCTTAGACACTTGGCCCTTATCTAAAAAAAAAATATATTGCGATATCTTTATTTAAGAAACAACGATTTTTATACGGGTTCACACGGTATTTTCACACGGTCAAATGTACGTCGCTTGCTCTCGCGTTAGTAACCCAGAGAGTTTATAATATATTTCAGCTACAAACAGAGCAACGAATAACTTTGTTTACAAAGAAATTTTGTAAGCAAAGTATATTTTTCCTTGCGATCTTTTTGATGTTTTTTTCCTTCGCAAATACGAAAACTTTATATCAAACAACGCGGACGAAATCGCGGGTATCAGCTAGTATAAATATAGAACCAAAATACATACATTATATTATATTATGTATTATTAATATACATTTCATAATATACAATACAAGTACATAAATGTAGAAACACGTATATAAGGACATAAAGGTGTAAGCAATAAATAAAATAAAAGTTATCTTGCAAAGAAAAACAGGTAGTAGTGTTTAAATAAACGAGGTAAGTTAATTAAGTGATAAAGATATGATGACGATAAAGAAATGACAATGCAGGGAGGAAAAAGGTACGCTTTTACTTCACTTGAAGTATAGATTTATGAACATAGCGTGGTTCATTATCCATGCACAACCTGATGCAGTGATTCCGAATATTTTAATATTTATCTCTATTAGTGACAGAATTATAAATTTTATTTCCCCACCGAATTCGAAAACATAGGCCGGTAAATCAAGTCGTGATATGAAAATGCAATGGCAGGACATTGACCGTGTTAAGCGATGTAAACAATGCTTAAAATAAGAGTAAGGTCCAAGAGAGATTGCGAATAATTTGGAAAAGAGGAACGTTCGTTGCTTTAACTATAGATTCCAATCGCTCTTTAGAAGGCATGTGTTAAAATCATCCATGATAATATAGTGCTCATTGGTATATATTTATCTGAGAGCCTTTCGAAAGTAGAAAAGTAGTCTATTGTGAGGCTAGGATTATAAAACAATAACAGATCCTGGAGTACCCTAGTAAGTTGCAACACGCATATTCGCAAATGGTGAATGACAAAATGTATACAATAAAACAGAAGTTTTTGATGTAAATAAAAAAATAGATCCACCAGAAACAGAAGGTCGTATCATAATAACACAAAAAGTTGTCAAAAAGTAATATGAGACCACTTTATACAGAATAAGATGATACACGTTATGCATGAATATTATTTAAGAAACCGATAACATATTAGCTGCGGCTGGCATGAGTCGCAATGCTGTTAACCAAATGAATGTTATAAGAAAGCATAAGAAAGTTCTGTTCGAATCCATGGCCCACGTAGTATAATATAATAAGTATTAACTAACGTTGTATGAGTTAGTGATGTATGTTAGGGTATGGTGGGATTGACAAACGCTAAGCGGTAAATGTCCCTTAAATTATTGTACAATAAAAAAAAGTATAAGAAACAAACAAAGGAACATTCACTTGTATATGTATAAGCTTGCAAGTAATAAATTAAATATTAAATATGTGTGCAGTAATTAATACGATGGAAATCCATCTTACTGGCACTTTGACATACCATAGTAGGACGTAAAAATCATCTTCATTCCTATTCTGATAGGTATGTAGGTGTCTTTGGACCACAGCATCTATTTACTGTAAGTTGGACAAGTGTTTGTTTGTCACCACTACTTGTTAAGTAATTATAATTTTCGTGCATTTGAAGTACTACTCGTCACCGATTGAATTGGTTATGTTCATCTATATAATAATAATAATCTATAATATATCCCCAATTGCAAAATTTTTTAATCGAAATTTATTTCCAATCGCCTTTAATTCTTTGACACACTGTGTCGCAGCGCAGCGCTGACTTGAGAAGTTATTAAATTATGTGGAGATTATGTTATTCTTTTTAGTTTATTAAGTTGTTATTTACTTTAACTTTACTGCTAATTCAACAGCTCAGTAGTGTATCATAGCGTTTTACTGTGGCTTTACGGGTCATACGTTAAATTTACGAAAGGTAAAATGCAATTGTTTGTTTGCTTATGTGCATTTAAGGGTTATAAAACTTCTCTAATATATATAGAGATAATGTTACCTTTTTGTCTAGAATTGCAATATAATATAGCTTCGCTTTTTTAACATTTTAATTGTTCATGTGGTCTAATCGATTTGTAAAACTTAAGCTACTAAGGGCTGATTATTCAATCGTCATATAAAAGTTATCCATCAAATAAATTATAAACTGACTGAATGTCTGAATGAATATAATGCTTGAAAAATTATTATATTAAATTATTAGTATTATTGTCACTATGTTTTTTATTTTTATTATAAGTCATTGCTGGGTTACTATACCACCCGATGGTAAGTGGTGATGCAACCGAAGATGGTAAAACCCACTGAATTAGCTTAACAAAAGCCTATTTACTGTTATCTTGCAGACACCTAACCACACCTTGCTCTAATGTTTACCAACGAGTTTGATTTTTTATAGAAGTTAGCGGGACAAACAAGCAAACAGTTTACTTGATGGTTCGTGGATGTTGTGGCCCATAGAAGCCCACTAGATTAAGAATCAAAATGCAGATGTGTTATCTATCCATCCATTATGTTCGTTCCATCTTAGCTTTCAGGACTGACAGTTACCATTTACAAATGTTTCTAATTCTCGCCATTCACCATACGAAATACGGCAGATTTAAGCGGCTGTTTTACACTGGCAGTCCGTGCGGGCGTGGTCATTCCCTGGTCGTGGTCCTACCACATAAATAAACGAATGAAATCGATTAGATGCCAACTCGACTTTAGTCTGTTTAATTGACAGGAGCTGGAACGGAACACAAACCAAGCGGAATTAAACACCATAGCCACATACTACTTCGACGGGCAGGGCAAGGCTCTGAGGCCGATGGTCGCCATACTCATGGCTAGAGCTGTCAACTACCACGTCTACGGGGAAAATAGGTATGTTTATTTATAATTACATATATACACACATATAAAACGTTTCACACCTGTTACTCAGAAACAACGACCTTCCCTTGGGCACGATTCTGACACACCTCACTTGCTTTTTTCACGTCTATATATCTACATACATCCTCGTCGGTTAAGGGTACTCTTAACCGATATCGATAATTTGGTCGATAAACTTCCGACTAAGACCTTTTTGCCGACTCTACCATTCACTTCTATCTTCATTTGTTCTTTCTACGTGTCCAAACTACCGAAGCATTTTTGATACTTTTCTAACATCTCCTTGCAAATCACACTTTTCTATTATTACACAATTTCTCACCCTATCAGAGTTACTTAATCAGATATTCAAAGTCGATCCTAATCTACATCTTCATGACTGCATTTCTACAGCATTATTTGTACTCTCATATTTCTTCTGACCTTCTTTTTCTAATCCAACTTTCAATACCATACATTAAGGTAGGGCCTAATTTTGTGAACTGCGTTTAGTGTGTTTTGACACATTTTCATTATTCACAATTGAGTGAAAAACCCAACTCACTCCGTGTACTGTATTCACTCTTCATTTTATATCCTTTTCATGTCCACCCTGCACACATGTAAAATACACAAACGCATCCACTTGCTCAAACAACTGTTTCTTCTATTATTATATCATATTATGTCGTTTCAAGGTCTTCTCTTTCAAAAACATAATTTTTGCCTTACTTGTACTGTGTTACTTTCATTGCCCTTTCTTTTAATGACATGTAATAATCTAACATTTAAAATCGATTTAAAAACTATTTTAATGTCTTGATAATGTCAATGGGAATTTTATAACATGATTTACTTACCACATTTTATCGTTTTTGTTTTAACGCGATATTAATAGCTCTATCTAATGGTGAAGTTAATTTTAATCAAATTTTATTTCATTAATGATTTTCTAGCGATTAGGATTTTCCGTTTTCCATTTTAAAACAATTAGGCACTATTTTTATTTAGAAATATTTTCGTAAGATTTAATCACAACATTTAAAATCGATTTACAATGCCATTTTAATATTCTGATAAGGGCGATCAGGCTTTTGAAACATAATTTCTTTTTAATCGTAATTTACCTCCTCCGTTTCAACGAGATAATATATTTCAGCTAATTCTAGCAATATGTATTATTTCGAAGTAATCACTACTTTTTGTCACTTTTTAATTACGTGCGATATTTTTTACATCAACTTCGTAATTTCACGTTATGTTATATTTATCTCATGAAATAAAATTAAAATGTTAACTATTAAATCAATCTTACAACTCAATCTAAAATAGTTATTTTCTAGTTATTTACCTAGTTATTTTTATTAAATGTGTGTTTCATTATTCTCTTCATATACTCATATTACGTGGATGGGAAATGGTATATATATGGTACCTAGTTATAACAACGTGTCGCTTTATTAAATATACATATATTTTTTATAAAATTCTAAACTCTCGATAGCTTAAGTTTCATCCTTAATGGTTTTATATACTATCATTATATGTGCTTACATTCTACTGCTTTATTAAACGATAAACAAACGGAAAAAATTCGACACTAAAATTCTATAGAACCTTTGATTACATAGAATACATTGTATATAATAATGAAACTGTACTTATAGGAAAGAATAAAACGTTAATTATAGTCAATAAAAACATTACAAAAATCCGGCGGAATGTGTTTAGTAGCAACTTTAAAACGAAGGTCGATCACAAAGCAGCATTGAATGAACTTATTGCACAATTTGAAGTTCGTGCTTTTGGTTTGCAATCGCCCATCACACCGAAGTGTCGGAGTTCAATGTCTAACAAATAGGCCTTGAACGATTCGTTTAGTTTTGGCTCTTTTTGCACTCTCACACTTAAATACAGCTCACTTAAATAGTCCTTCGTTTCATACAAAGGCTGTTATTAGCGAAGAGTCACAAATAATCAGTCAGTCGTGTATAATATATATGTATTTACGTTATGTGTATGCAATTAAATGTAATATTGTCAATGCTTTATTCTATTTTAAATAATTTTCATTATACTGGTGCAGACCTTATTTGCAGGAAAAATTTCAATAACTATCCTCAAATGATGACAGAGTTATTCGTTCCTCATCTAATCTAAAGATTAAAGTTCAAATTCACTTCACCGGTTTTATCGGCAGCTCTTTTACTGTTAAGGTTTGATTTCTCTGGAGCTCCTTAACGACATCAAGAAAGCTCCTACCTAAAAAGGTTGCCGATCGAAATACTATTGACGAAATACATATACATAATTATGCATGTGTGCGTGTATGTATGTCATACAGTTACCAAAATACATTTTATTGACACATAATTTTACATTAATTTTTTTAAAGCTATAACTACTTAAAATTCTGTAGTAAATATTCCCACGAGTTGAAATAAACTGTACAAGGAAAAGTCCGTAAAAAGTAGAGACTTAAGATATATGAAGCAGATTTGCAAATTGTCTATTCTATGGCTGCTTTCACGTGCTTCTGATACAATTCGAAGTGATGTAGACGTGATATGAATAATTAAACCTATTGAATAAATATACATCATGTTTTCTTGCTGTTCTACTCTGTTTGTCGTACGAATTGTAATTTTAATTGTAAATGTATAATTATAACTTTACAAAAAATTAAAAACCGATTTCAAATTGCTAAATAATTAAAAATTAGAAATTTTGTACAGCCGACTTCAATATAAGTTATTAAGAATAACTCAAAAACTATTGGCCTGACCTTGATCAAATTCATATGGAACCACACGAGAAGTACCAGCTTTCAAATAAAAAAATCGGAATCGGTTCACCCAGTAAAAAGTTATGGGGTAACACACATAAAAAAATACATACAGTCGAATTGAGTACCGGCTCCTTTTTGGAAGTCGCCAGAAAAGAAAATTATTTATTTGCTACCCTTAGGAGTAGAATTTTTTTCACAAATTTATATGGTAGCGCAAACACAAACAAAACAAAACAAATACAAAAAAAAACATATATTCGACTTGAGAACCTCCTCCGTTTTGAAGTCGGTTGAAAATTAAAAACAAATCTAACTAACAATGTACTCAATTTCATAAGTTGTTGTATTTCTTCATAATTATTTTATTAACAAGTATGTCGTATTTTATATTTACATATTTTTATTTTTGTTGATATTCACTACCCTATATCGACCCGTGGGTGTCGTAAGAGATGACAGCGGGAAGCAAATCAGGAGAAGAGCAGCAGTGTCTTCCTAATGACACCAAAAATTAAAAAACAACTGCGCTTGTATACCCGCGTGACTATAACAAATATTCCCCGTATGAAGTAATCTGTGGGTGAGGCCTTTGTTTAGCAGCGGACTTTTGATAGGCTGTATCGTTAACGAAAAAAAAGTACTCCGGCCATACCATGCCAGTTAAATTTATTCCCGACTAGCTGATATCCGCGACTTCATCCGCGTTGCTTGATATATTAATAAAGTTTTCGTATGTGCGAAGGAAAAATCATTAATAAGATCGCAAACAAAAATATACTTTGCTTACAAAATTTATTTGTAAACAATGTTATTCGTTGCTCAGTTTGTAGCTGAAATATATAAATTGTCCGAGTTAGTAACGCGAGAGCCAGCGACGTATACTGTGTGAATAACCCCATATAAAAATCGTTGTTTCTTAAAACTTTAATAACTGTATATTAAATGAAGATATGACAATAGTTTTTTTATAGATAAGGGCCAAGTGTCTAAGAAATGAAACTTAGAAAACCTATTTGAAATCTATCCAGTAGTTTTTCGGTGATGCGCGCACAACTGCAAACCTCTCATTTTATTTATATAGATGAGCCATTTATTCATATATTTTGAGAGTTCTTATTTATTACTGATGTAGTCTATTGAATCTTGAATCAATTGATCACTTACCGTGTACTGATGGCGTAAGAATATTCACTAGCCGTGCGTGTGGAAGTGGCAGCAGCATCTTCCTCACAAATTAATAACAATAAAAAACTGCGGTTGCTAACCCGCTTGCCAAGCGTGGCAAATATGGTAAATATTCTCCCTCCGAGACACTTTATGAGAGAGAGGCTCAGTTGTAAACTTCTAATGGGCTATAATGAATAACTAAATGCATCTCTTGCAGTTTTGCTTGTATAGTAGAAACGTGTAAGCTCAAGGCCAACTCTCAGCGGACAGCGTGCAGCTAGGTGGGCGTTGGGCATGTATGACAAACATATACTGTTGTATTACAGTGTTCTGAGTGACTACTTTTTGATTTGTATAAGAAATGCGCCACCACGCCACACGACCCGCCGAATGCACTCCTTGAGTCTAAGGGCTGAGGCCTCAATTCCATGGTGTGATTCCATGATTCCAGCGATGAGTTTGCCAGTCGATCAGTCAGGACACTAATACAAGAACGTAAATTTGGACGTAATACGATATTCTCTATACGGAGGCTTTACCTTAAGTTAATTTCAGTGCATTTAAAAATAGCATTAGATTTCTGTCCTTAAAAAATACTACATAAACTACTCGTATGTAATGTATACCAATTACTCCAAAGAATTATTGGTTTATTCGTATGTAATGTATGTTTCCCTGTTCCTTTGCGACCTTTGTGGTAAATGTAATGTGGTAATGATAGACGGATTTTCTACCGACTTTAAAAAGGAGGAGGTACTCAATTCGACTGTATGTTTTTTATGTGTTTTACCTCATAACATTTTTCCTGGGTTAACCGATTTCGATGATTCTTTTTTTATTTGAAAGCTGGTGCTTCTCATGTCGTCCCATATAAATTTGATCAAGGTCTTCCCAAAAGTTTTTGAGTTATTCTTAATAATTTAAACTGAAGCCGGTTGTACAAAATTTTAAATTATGAAGTGTGATAAAATGTGATGTCGTCATATTTGAATTCCCCTTTGGAATAGCCAAAAGTACATTTTATGGTAACAATACGAGTGTATACTCGTGTCAGCTGTAAGTAACACGATCATTACACACGCTAATAAAATGGCGCTTGCTTGAGCCGCATTCTGACGATCTTGTCATTTTATTATTTATATATAAAAGTTGTTGCGTCTGTTAGTGATCGTGTAACTTCTGAACTAATTCACCGCTAGAGGTTGTACTCACACAATATATTTATTATTTGTCGAGACCATGGTTCAAAGCTTTGCTAGGATCCGGTACGTGGTGCTGCAGTTTTGTTGCAAACAAACTTTACATTAAATTTAGCGCCTAAGTGGTTTTGTTCTCAAAAAGAGAATTACAAAATCTGGACCCGATAGGGCACCGTGGCCGAGTAATTAATAAATTTTATATTATATTTACACTAAAAAATATTATTAACAAGCCTTGTGAGAAAAACATTTGTGCCAAAAATACTCACAGACACAACGAGGTGATCGCGCATTTTGGAAAACTAATTTGGTTGGTAAATGTCCATGAGCTAAAGCCGCGGGAAAAGCTAGTTATATAATAATAAGCGACTGTAACCGACTGTTTTTTTATAACAATTTGTTTGTTTTTAAAGGTGTTTCGACAAAGATTAAACCTCTAAAAGAAACGAATATATGCAAGGTTTATCAATATTTAACCATGTATTACGATTATAAAGTAAATATTTACGATCATAACTAATTATAATTGTTAATGGCTTCCGCAAATATACTTATTTATTGTAGAAAAAAAACATACATTTTCGAGACTCTTTTACTTACTCAAATATTTATTTATTAAAGCTAATACCTTTATTAACATATGCAATTATATACGTGGTAGAGCCGTTCTGCAGCTATATTGTGGTTGTAGCACGAATGGCTCGGGTCAACCGGGGAATAATCACACTCTCACGGAATACTAGCGTAAAATAGCAACTTAACGCTAGTGTGGATTGTATGACGAGTGTAGAGAACCGGAGACCCTTTTTACTGGAAACGGGGCATTCTATCTTAGTCCTCAGGGGTGTTAACGCATCTGCATTTTGGTTTTTAATCAAAGATAGATTTAGATGTCTATGGGCCATACCATCCACTTACCATCAGGTGAACTTTGTGCTCGTTTGTAACTCTTCATCATTATCATCATTACAGCACTTCACAAGTCCATTGCTGAACATAGGCCTCCCCCAAGGAATGCCACAAAGCACGGTCCTGAGCCACCTGCATCCATCGTGTTCTTGCATATCTTACCATGTCGTCACTCCATCTAGTGGGAAAAAAAGTAACTCTTATTCTATAAAAATAGATCCAAAGCCAATCATATTATTTTAACCTTTAATTAGATTCCTCTTCAACATCGACTTAAAGAAAATATACTAAGTATAAATTAAATATTTATTAGTCTTTGGTCTCGGCTAAGCATCTATCTAGTCTAGATATGTTTGGATCCGACCCATGGTTGATTGAGTACGCTGATACAGTGTGACCTATGTTATTAAGGATCAATAAAGACTAAAATCAATTTTATTGAAAGCAGAAACGTATTATGAAATATTTTAGAAATATCTTGAGCAAGTTTGATTATGTAATAATGAATTCTGTAAATATTGAGCATATTAGAACTACATCAGGCTGAGGTGTCAAGGATACGTTGGATTTGATAATAATTGTCGTCTAGGTGATATGTTTATTAATAGTACAATTCGAAGTGCTAAATGAGTCCTAAAACGGTGGTCATGGAAGTTACTGATTATACAGAACTTGACAATTCTTTTTTATCACTACACCAGCTTTTTTAAGTCCTTTGCTGGACCTGCAGTGGGATTGTGTAACTCTGGTGGGAAATGTGGTTGGCTTCGTTTTGACGTTTGACGTTTAGGAGGTTTTAGTGAGAGGTACAAAATCGCATTGAAGGTCTTACTAGTACTGTGCTTAAACAATCAGTCGACGTGTTTATGGTATGATTGTTTCCGGGATGTGCACATCTATTTACAAACCTTAAATCGTATTCTTTAGCCGTTTTAAAAAAGAGGAGGTTTTCAATTAGACTATACTTTTTGTATACATTTTACACAATATCTTCTACAACTGTAAACTGATTTTAATGATTATCTTTTTATTACACAGGTTTTACCTCGTGGGTGTGAAAAATAGGGGATGTAAAGTTTAATTTAACTATTTAGACTACATTCTAGTGGATATGTTAACAGTCTGTAACGTGGCGTACGTTACAAACTGTTAACATATCCACTAGAATGTAGTCTAAATAGTTAAATTAAAATTATATACAATTAATTAGTTTGTCGTCTACGCAGTTCTGTTTCTTATTTTGCATACTCGTAGCTACATCACTCATAATCCTCGCTCTAATCTATGCGAGTACACTTCGCTTCATTTCCGTCTAGTAGTATCCTCTTATATAAGGGATGAGGTGTGCCAACTTATGATAATGAAGCGATGAGTTGGATTCACATACATTACTGCTGCCTCGTAAATTAATAACTCCGAAATCATTTTTTATTATTAATTTTGATTTCATTACCTATACATTTGGGTAGATTAGCGTTATATTTTTGTCTTTAGTCTATATGTAATGTATTTATAATTTTTAGTTTTTCGCTGTTTGTATTTTATAGTTTTATTTTTATATTAATATGCATAGTTTAATTTCACAAAAAAAGTTTAACAAAATTTTAAGATGTCAACATAAATAATATATACGTGAAACGAAATGTGTGACATAGTTTATAATGGTCGAAGCCTTACAAGTTGTTTTTTTATCTTATCCTTTAAAAAAATCAGTTGCTTGGGACTAGATAAAGGTTCTGGACTAGGTTTTACCATTAATGTGTGTACAAACAAATATATTGTGGTTATCGGATTGAAACACTATAAGACCTATGTAACCTACTATCATATCTTATTTTGTAATACAATAATTATTCCCATAGCGCACTGCTGCCATCACAGCGACAAGTAGCGATGATCAGCGAGATGATCCACTCGGCGTCACTGATCCACGATGACGTCATCGACCAGAGTGACTTCCGCCGCGGGAAGCCCTCCGTCAACGTGCTCTGGAACCATAAAAAGGTAACCTTCATCTTATATTCATTGATTTCGTAATCATTGCACATCATATGCAGCACTGTATTAACATTGCGTATTAACGCAGTGCTAATGTTAGCGCATAATAGTTAATAGCTTAGCATACTGATAATACCAGGAAGGTTAATTGAAACGGAATCGAAACACTTCTAACTTTCAAATGCGTGACAGATTTTTTGCAAATTCTTTACGGGTTTCTAATCAATTTTCATAAATTTTGTGCATTTATTAAATCAAGCATTACATAAGTTTTCATTTGTAATTTTCTGCTCGCTTTACTTCATTACAATTGCCAGTCATAGTGTTAGTCACTTTTTTCTTTATTATGTACTGTGAACTAAGCCAGCCGGAACAAATAGCTGCAATCTCAAAGGGAAGAACCCAAACAGTCAATATTTAAATATAAACTAAAACGTCTAATTTATCAATTCGTGGAAAAACCTTAAATTAAATATCATTCTTATTGATTTATATGTAGACCGAGTTGCAGTAATATCGTCAGTATACATTGGAAAATGTGGCCATGACTTGAATATATTATGTCATACCTTATAAAAATTTAACGATATTGAAATCTATTGTAATGTCAACTACGATCGATGAGGCATCATATGTTGTGTACGAAAGGTTAGGTTGGTGATGCTTTTTATAGATCTTTTTGTTATGGACGGCAGTGGAATGATTCCTCTATGAAGTCATTCCGTCGACGAATAGAATCTAAAATGTCGATTTGATGAATTAACTGCTAATAACTACGTGGGTTCCATTGATATCGATATTAACAGTTTCTATTTGCCCTTTTCGGAAGTTAAGTAGTTGGCCTTGTTGTGACGCAGTAGAGTCACACTGCTGAGTGTTATGAACAAAAACACATTAATCGACTTGACTGGGGAAAGACCACACTGGCATAGAATACCAGCATAAATAAGCAGCATTATTCTGCTGTCTTCCTTATGAATGGGTGACGAGAAGCGGAAACCTTTCTACTGGTGTATATGACCCAAAGCATCCATTCAACATCACCTTCTGTTCCATAAAAAAATGCCATAGAAACATTTTCGACAATATAACCTCTAATAAATCTAGATACCTACTGAAGTACACTGTATGTGGGTAAACCCCAGTGATTGTTTTAAAACACTGTTGGTGAATATATAAATACTTATTGACGCCATCCAGGGATTATTTATGCGATCTCTCGGCTCCTAGAAGTCGCGACATCATGGCTATCCCATTGCATTAGAATGTTAATTTGTGTTAATTAATTTTATAATTATTATTTTAATTTTATCTACATATTTGAAAAGATATTTAGAAGAATATAAAATGTATAATAATGTATCGTTCATCTAAGTGTAAAATTTTCATGTTTATTTTTCTGTTCAACTGATGAATAGTTTTCAGATGAAACTAAAAAGAATGAAATAACATCCACATAATAGATTCTAAACTAGGTATCCAAGACATAGTGTATCGAAGTATTAAAACCCCGAATTGTTATTTGAATTTTGCTTTTACTTTTATGAAAAGTTTAATTTTTGACGCTTTTAAATGAACTTATAAATTTCACAAGCTCAAAGTCTAGAATGTCATTTAAATAGTTGCATTAAATATTTTTCCAGCCTTAGGGGTGAATTTTTTTATTTTTTTTATAAAACTGATAATGTCAATTTATATTCCTGAATTGACCTATTGAATAAAAATATATAAAAATAAATAATTAACAAAGATGTCGCATACAAAAATAATGCATTCGAATCGAGAGGTTCCTCCTTTTTTTAAGTCGGCCAGTTAATTATAAATAGGTAATCAACGTACGTCACAATGACATTGGCCGGTAAAATTTATGAAAGTTGTGAATATACAAAAACTATTAATCCTATTAATGTTGTATGAAAACTCTTTTTATTTGCCTTATTGAGTTACAATAACGTTAGTCACAACGCTTTAACGGACTATGGATATCTAGGTTAAGATCAAGTAGTTTAAATGCCCAGTGTTGTTAGTCAGTGTTTGGAGTCACGCTGGCTGATGTAACACATTTTAGTCAATGGAATGTCTTCGTCGCCTCGGCACACTCACCGGACGTAAGCGCTACCGTAATAGTTTGATGAAACTTAAATCTGATATAAAAGCTATGTTAAAGTTCAGGCTTCAGCTGCTTATGTACACTTTAGCAATCAATGTTCATGTTTATAAAGTTAAGTCTGTATCCACGCACGTACTTTGTCCATTTGTAAGGTAAATATTGATTTATTTGATTAGTGCAATTTCTTATTTTGTTCTCGGACAGAAGGAGTAGTTCACTATGGTAAAAATGTTTCTCTTTACTTCAAATCATAAATGATTGCATTTGATAAACGTAACAAATAAATAAATATATTGCTGGCCGTGTAGTGGATCCGAAAGAATATCCACTTATTATCATTAAATTATTACTTATTAATTAATTCAATTATAATTAAAGCGTTTTGTATGGAAAAATCATGCGTGCATGTCCACTATATTATCCTGCTTTAACGGCAAAATGTGCTTATGATTTTTTTCGGCACATCAATTGCACAAGCACCTCTCGAATGTTATACTCTGTATACTAAAAAACCAATGACATTTTCCGATGTTCAATTTCTATTAATATTTGTATAATAAGTGTGTTGGTGCAAAACGTCTGGTAGTTCGATCGTCAAATCGCCTGCCAAGCACGACGACAAAGGCATCTGTACAGCGGGAGAGGCTCATGTCCAGCAGTGGTCTTTGACGGGCTGGTTACGAAGAAGAAGGATAAATAAATGAAAAATGTTAATACGAGCTCTATTCAATAGAGCTCGTATTAATATTGAATAATCATCATTTAAGTTTGAAAAAAAATAATTAGGTCATTGAGTCAGGAACAGGTTCTTGCTCTACTTATGAAAATAAAAGATTAATACAATCTGTGAGAAGTAGTCCGTATCGCTCATACTTAACAATATAAGATACACAACCTTTCTCTCGTACGTTCGTGGAAACGAGACGGAGCTATTTTAACGCTTATTATGGATGTATTGACGTTTCATGCTGTTTAAAGTTCAGGCCAAAGTAGCTCGTAAATTATTTAAAATAAGAAAGCAAATGGCATGTTTGAGGATTTTTGTTGAATCACCGATTGTACGTTTGTAAACAGCAACGTGTGAGTGTGGTGGTGAGGCCCGAGATGCCTGCGAGGCGACGGCCGAAAGCTGGGCGACCCCCCGGTGAAAGTTTTTTCGACCTCACACTACAACAACGTTTTTGATACTACCTCAATTTATATTTCCTTGTGCTCTGGATAACTTATAGCCCTAAAACGACTTACGATTTCTCTGATTAATGGTACTATCTCGATTATTATCGACGCTTCAACAATTTTTTCATTCTACATTATTTAACTTAAAAAAAGTAAAAACCGGCTGGAATAAAATAATTTCGACTTCAGCAGCTAATTAATTGCGTGAAAATAATATAGTGTAATTTAAATATTTTTTTTTACTTTATGAAGTGGTTTCTTAAAGTAAATTTATTGACACTTGAGTGGACTATCACTAGCTCAAGGTAATAAATTTAATGTAGTGTTAAATAGTTACATTTAAATTTAAATCTCGTATTTTTCTTAGATTTTTTTTTACAAAACTGAAATAACAAAAGTCCATCCACAGTCCACCTGACGGTAAGTGGCTATTGTAGTCCATGGACACCTGTAGCCAACTTACTACAAAGAATGCGTTACTACAGATGCGTTGTCACCTCTTAAGACTAAGTTGGAATGCTTCACAACCTATAATTATATTCTATTTATAATCTTCAGAGCGGAACACTTTAATTTCAATTTCATTTGTTCTTATGATATAGGCAACAAAGACGTGTATACATGAACATGTCTTTGTTACCTGTCCTGTTATATATTTTTCGAATATTCGTTATATATAACGAACATTCGAAAAATGGAATGAAATTAACGAAATAATTATCAACCGGTTTTTGTGTTGTAGAAAAGTGCCCGGAAATAAAGAATTGAAAAAAGTATGAGTGAAACTGTATATATAAAGAAATTGTTAGTTCGTAAATAACCATATATATAATAATATTAATCAATATTTTCGAATCCCTCATTCATTCATTCGTTCGTTCATTCATTACAGCCCTTCACAAGTCCAAAGCTGAACATAGACCTCCCCCAAAGAATTCTGCAAAGCAGGGTCCTGAGCCCCCTGCATCCATCAATCCCTCAAAGCAATTATTTATTTGACATGTAGATACTTTTTTTTTCTTTTAAAAACGTTACCCCCACACTAGGATTTTCTCCTGTATCGCGGAGGCAGTTTATAGACACAAATTGCACAAGGACAAACATCCAGACCCGGGACAATTATTTGCAGGTCATACAAATACTTGTTCCGTGCGGGATTCGAACCCGCGACCCCCAGCGCAGCAACTCATTGCTAAGCCACTGCGCCACGGAGCCGTCAACTTGTTCTGGGTCTGGATGTTTGTCTTTGTGCAATTTATTAAACTGTCCCCACGATACAGGAAAAATCCTAGTGTATGCTAAAGTTATATAAAAAGAAAAAAAAACTAAAGAGGCAACGTGGTTAGTTAAATTCCAACAATATAGTAGTATTGTATTGTATACAGTAGTTAATGTAGCATTGTCTGTCATGTAAATAGAATACCATCCCATTAGTAGTACCCGCTAGTAGAATAACGTTGAAGACACGATCATTGTGTAATAAATCCCTGTTTAAATAAATATATTTGTTAAAGCTATTTCATCTATTAGGTTTGTCAAGGCGGTTTTCGTAAGACCTGACACAATATACGATCGGGGTCACTATTATTTATTTCATACTGGCGACCGTTTTCTTGGTTTTTTGAATTGGGAATACATGTGTTTTGTTTAACCAAAATTCACTTTGAGCCTCATGTACACTACCCTAAAATTTAGCAAGGTGGTTAGGTTGTGAACTTAA